ATCCTCTATTTTAGACACTCCTTCCAAATTTCAAATCACTACATGAGTCAAGTTGGTGGTAGAACTAGTTTGAAGGCAGCTGTGGAGATGGTGACGGAGGCCCATTGTGGTGTCGGTGTCTGGTGGTGATGGAGGCGCCTTGTGGCGAAAACTAGGGTTGTAAACGAATCAAATAATTTGTGCTCGATTCGCGATTCGAATTCGTATAAGATAATTCAAATTTGAAAAATTCAAATACAAATAAGAATATCAGTGTATTTGATTCAAATATTAATCAAATATATTCGATTAATAATAATGGAAATATTAATATCAATATTAATAATAATAATTGTAATAACACTATAATAACTATTAAAAGATAGCAATATCCTCAAAGTGTAGCTCATGCATACACTTGCATATAGATTCCAAGCTCATTTGTAATAAATCAGAATATAAATACGAATACAAATCAATTTTTTTGGTTCAAATGTCTTTCAAATACAATACAAATAATTATGTATTCGATTTGAAGAATAAGATTAGAGTTGTTTGACTTTGATATATATAATTATCCAGGGGCGGATCTAGTAAGCTCATAGGGGGGGGGGGGGGGGCAGCTGCCCCCAATAAAGTCCAATTAGTCCTTGTAATTTGTTAATAAATTTTAGAAGCTCAGCTATTTGCCCCCAAAAAGAAAAATGGATTGCCCCCTATAACTTGAGAGTCGAGCCTTCTCCTTTAATGCAAAAACAACCTTGGAGTTAGAGACAATAGATTCCAAGACAGTACGTGCGTGGCTGAGCAGCAAGACTCCAACTCTCTATGTTAGATTAATAAATCAATTAAATGTTAGGTTTAGAGCTTTGCCGTTTTAGTTGCCTAGTTTAGTTACGTTGTTTAATCTTTTGTATGTATTCATTGTATTGTTTACTTGTTTAAGACCATACATTAATTTTTAATTTTATATAAATATAAATACTACGTATTAAATAAGGTTATTAAACTTATTTTCATTGTTTCAAAAAAAAAACTTATTTTCATTAATTAGGAAATTTTGAGAAGGATCAATTAGATTTATTTAAATTGATGAGTTAGTGGAATAGTTAGAAATTCTAACATAGAAAATGTGATTTAATAAGTTAGAAATTCTAAATGCAAACAGTATGTTACTTCAGGTAATTAAATAAAGTGTATTGATGTATTCAAAAAAAGTTATAGCCTCTCTGTCCCATATATAACATTCTTCTCACTTACCATTTGGGGATGTCTCAAAAAATTCTTCCAATTTCTCTTTTTGAAAAATTTTGTGTGATCGATATTCATTTACTTTTTTCTTACTCAACCACAATCATATATTTTCACTTTATTCTCACTTTCATAAACTCGGATTCAAGTCAAACAGGAAAAAATTTTATGGGATGATGGGAGTATTTAATTTCTCTTCTTTTGCATACTCAATACTAAATACTAGACAATCGAAATTTTATTGTTTCAAATATTGCTTCTCAATGTTCTCAATGTTTTCTTAAAATAGTGAAGACTAATTTGCGTAATAGAATTGACGATAAGTTTTTGAGTTTTTGTCTAATTTGTTTTATTGAGAAGGATGTGTTTGAAATTATTATACTTAAAATTTTAATGAATCCCTTCAAAAAGATGAAAACTCAGTGCCAAGAATTGTACTGTGGATGTATTTTGTTAAAATTTTGTTAGTGTAATGTTACATTAATACTTTATTAATTATTTAATTTTCAAATGTTGTTTTTATTTACCCTGCCTAGCTGCCCCCGATAAATTATGATCCTGGATCCGCCACTGTAATTATCAACTTATTTCACACATTATAAGTATAATTTCTAATATGTGTGTTAGTGTTTATTTCAAAAGGTTTGGAATAGATTTACTTATATTAATCATAAAACTAATTCACTTTAGTATATTATGCACCATGTAAAAATGCATTGATCCATTAAATTTAAATACTAAAAACACATATTAAGTCATGGCATGCATTTACAACATAAAAAATACGGAGTATAAGAAAAGTTATTTTAGAGTGATATTTGACTAATATTTAACCTATGCTCAAATCGATTCGATATTCGTATATGATTCGTTAACAATTCGTATAGTTAAACAAATACACATACAAATCGAAATTAATATTCGTTTCATATTTGAATTCAAACTCGTATTCGAAAAAATTAAACAAATACAAATACCAAATCTCATTATTCGTCTCGTTTCGGTTCGTTTACAACCCTAACGACAGCGCCCGGTGGTGATGGAATCTGACAGAGGTGACGGTGGTGGCATTAGAGGCGACGGCCAAGGTGGAAGAGGCGGCGCCAACAATGAAATGGATGACGGCGATAGGTAGTAGAGCCGCCGGCGGCGGCGGTGGATGACGCAGCGGCGGCGAATGATGGGCTGGCGGCGTCAGAGTGTGTGTTAGTTGACCCTAGGGTTGTGTCGCTGATTATCTATTGTACTATTTGTTTTTTTTTATTTTGATTTAAATTATTAATAAACAATTGTGTTTGAGATTTCATTAAGGGTATTGATGTCAGGTCACCTCTTTTTTACTCCTACTAAACCTCACGGGAAACTTTAGTTCCATTTATGCATAATTCTTATTTTTTAGTCCTATATAGGTAATTATGTCTTTATTTTAATCTATCTCTAACCCCAAAACAATTACATTTATAGTCGGTTACATGAATCTCATGATATATTTATCATTTATAATATTTTGAAAATAATATGAGAGTTTAAAATAATATAAAACTAATTATTCACATTATATATATATATATATATATATATATATACACACACACACACACACACTCCGTATATAACTTTCCAAAATAAAATTAGACACTTTTTGAATAACATGACAAAGAATTCGAGGAAACCTATTATTTAAGATTGATTTGTTAAATGGAGGTCCTTATCAACTTAGATTTCACGGATGAAAACAAAAACATGCAGAGATATAATACATAATGTACGTAGGGACTAAAAACATATTTAAATAACTAATTTTTGTTTGGTAAACGGTCTTTTGAATTTGTTTTTTAAACGAAATGGTTAAAAGGGAAAAATATTTTGAATAGTTTTTCACAACAACTTTAAGTTAATGTTATAGAAGTGCAACGTTGCTTCTTTTGCTAATTATTTTAAAATTCAAAAAATATAATAATAGAAATAAAATAGGAAGTAAAGAATAGTAATAATGCAATGACAATAGCAAGAAAGATTAAATATGATTTTAGTCATATTTTAAACATTTTAAACATGACAAACTTTGTTTTAGGTTCTTGCAAAATATTTTTTTGTTTTTTCAGTGTATGCACTATTTTGTTTTTAGTTCATCTCTTTTTTTTCTTTTTTTAGTCCATCTTTAATCTATTATCCCTAAATCACTTAATTTGGGAAAAAAGTTATTACTGATTGCATAAATCAACTATAAACTTTTAAATTTGTTTTTTTATAATTTTTTAGACTAATAATAGAGGAGTTAAAATAATGCAAAACTAAATATTCACATTTTTAAAATATGTATGAAAAACAATCTAAATGAATAAAAACAAAAAGTTTATTCTTTGATATGACAAAGAATTAGATGAAATCTTTTAGTCGAGATAGTTCTCTATCAAACGGGAGTTTTTATCATCAGTGATGGACTAAAACAATCAACATAAATTTCAGAGATGAAAATCAAAATAAACTAATTTTCCAGAGATGTAAATCAAAATATAATATTTTTGCAGGGACTAGAAACATATTTAAAACTATTAATAATTATGGTTGTGGACAGCGGGGGCGGAGCCAGGGCACTAGGCCGATACAAAGAATATTTAAAAAAATATATAAGAATTTTTTTAATTTAAAAATTAAGGTATTTATTATTTTTGGGATGAACCAAGGCATAGGTTAGCCTCCCTCTAGCTCCGTCCTGTTAGACACTCTCGCCAATTTTAGGATATTATTTTAAAATTCCACTCCCTCCATTTCAAAATGATAGTCACACTTTCCTTTTTTGAATGTTTCAAAACAAAGTCACAATTCCTTATTTGTTAAAAAAATCTATATCAATACTGTACAAAACAGTGTCAAAATAGTGTCAAAAAAAGTGTATTAGAAAGTAAAATTTATCTCTCGATAAATTTATTTCATTAATATTTGTGAAATATACTTTCATTTTGAATGTTATAATGTTTACAAAATAAATGACAAAATATATGGTAACCACAAAATTAGTTGGTTAAATTTTAAGTCGGTTAAATTTTCTAGCCGGGTAAGTTGCGGGGAAAAGTTTGACGGATTATATTCTATTTTAATATTTTTTTAATTTTAGTCGGAAAAAAAAAGTGGGGATCATTGTGTTAATTACATTTGTTATGGCAATATTGACACTAACATCTACGGTACCTAACATTGAAATATCATACTATAGTATATTCTCTTAATCTCATTGTATAAGATACATTTTAAGGGTAAATTTTCTTTTTAGATTGTCCAAAAAATATGAAAATTTTTCTAAGTTTAATTTAACTAATTTTCATTCATCTTACAAAAACAGAGAAACTAAGCAAAAGTGGAGTAGACTATTCCTCCGTTCTTAAATAAATGCAACAGTCAACATTTCACACTTGACGAGACACAACTTTGACCATTAATATAAATGATTTCGTATTAGTTAAAAAATTAAAAAATTAGATTATAAAAATTTAAAATGAGACAAGTTTAACAATATTTTTTTCAGAAAATAATATTATTACATTAATAAATAAAACGTAGTCAAAGTAGAATATGTAAATAGTGTAAAAGTAAAAGTGTTGCATTTATTTAAGAACGGGTAATATTTATTTGTATACCCATGCACCTGATTCAGAAGTTATTGCATAAATAAACAACTCTTGGCAAGGTGTACAAGAAAACTAGTCAATATGTACAAGAAAGGTGAACAGTTAGCACTACACCAATTTAATAGGCATTAGGCAAGGTACCTGAATCGAATTCGCTTCAGGTCATTACCACCTCGATTAGGCAAAGAAACAAAGGTGATGAGTACTCCAGGTTCAACCTGTGCCACCCACTCCACAGAGTCGTCTTCTTCCATGAACCCCACGGGTGAGTCACTTCGACCACTCGCCGATTCCGGCGTTCCTCTATCGCTCGAAAATACTCCATGAAGTCCGTTTCCCCTTAAGATTGGGGTTGAATCCGAATTCTCCGCCCTTCTATATCCACAACGAGACCTCTCCAGGACCGACTCGGATTCCGAATCGGGCCAATTTCTGTTATGATTATTGTTCGGCCTACCGGAACCCGGCTTGCAATGCTTATACGCACCAGAAGCTTTGAGCACCATCTCCTTTATCTAATTTATTCAAATAAATTAAGCATAAAAAATACAAACGAAATTGAATGAAGTAAAATTTGTTGTTTGAATCTGTAACAGACGAAAACTTGAAAAGGATGAACTGTACTGTACTATTGTACCTGGGAAGTGAGCGATTTGATGGCTTGTCTGGTTCCGAGAGTACTAGCGACGCCGACATCATCTTCTTCGGCTCTAGCCAGAGATTCGCTGCGAGGCTGCCTTGATCGAGCTATGCAAGTCAACATTCTGAGATCGCGTGCTATGCAATACCAACGTGATTGATAAACAAGTGAGATTACGCCATGTCCAGAGACACGTACGAAACAATCCGGTCAAAATCAAGTTTAACGGGAAGTGCTCTGCTTCGTAAAAGGGGGAGAGATCAATGGAAGCGTTGATAGCGAGGGGAGATTCGAGTAAATGTATGAAGATTGAGGGAATGTTTGATGCGCGTAGTTTTATACGGAGTATTAATGATATCTGTGAGAAACATTGGGATTAAAAACAAAGTGCTGGGAGAAGAAGGTGATGGTGATTGAGAAATGTGAAGATTCGAAAAGATTAGGAGGAACAAAAGAGCGTGGGGCAAGTTGGAACAGCCTACCAGTAGTGGCTAGAGGCGATTCTTACACACTACTGTACGCAGGTCCTCTCCTTGCAACGTCGAGCGTGCGCCGCCTACTGTACATAGGTTTGATCAAGTGGGTTCGGTTTTTTTAGTGGCTAGACTTGAACCAAAAATCTTTATAAAGTTATTGAAAAAATTTACAAATATATCCCTCTAGTAGGAAATATACACTTGTTTTATTTTTTAAAACAAATATACCCCTAATGTATACGTTGAAGAACATATAAACTCTTGAACTTTTAAAAGGTGTAAAAATACCCTTCATATTCTTATAAAAGAGCAAATTTACTCTTATTCACTTTAAATTGATAAAATAAATTTCAAAAACACCAAAAAGAATTATAAATTCGAAATTAAAAAAATATAAAATTTTAAAAATGTACTTATGGAATATTTTGTATATCACAAGTATTTGTACATCGCAGTTTAATATGGAATATTTTTAGTATAAAATATTATTTCAAAACTTTACTATATACTCCCTCTGTATTTATTTATTTGTCACACTTTCCTTTTTGGTGTATCAAATTAATCGTCTCCTTTCCTTTTTGGAAAGAATCTCACTCAAAAAGCAGCTACAGTACCACTACAATTCGCTAGCTTCACTCAAAAAGGGTCTAAGACCTGCAAAGTAACCCTGCTTCTGAGCACTAAACCTCATGTACATGTATTGAAGCATTAGAATTTCCTTGGGTATTCTTGGTACACCCTCTGCAGCACCACCTTCTTCATTGACATCCCTAGCTTCAGTTTTGATTATTACAAGACTCCCATGGTTGTATTTAACAACAGTTTCTGCATAATCCCTCAACCTCCTATATTGTTCTTTGATATCTCCTTGGATCTTTGCCTTTGCTTTTCTTCTAGCTCTGTAACACTTTGCAAGACTCACCTCTGCCCTTAACTGTCTTTGAACTGACTTTTGCATAGCAGTGACATCCCACTCAGGATTTTCCCTCAACTCATCCATGTACTTTTTTGCCAAATAGCTACTAGTCACCAAGCTGTTTCTGTTACTAAAAGGGCATTCATGTTTGGGCCTGAATGTTTTTATTTGGAAGGACCCACATTCTGGAACTTTTGATGCATGAACCCTGAATGAACAAATGTCCTTGTTTTTGCAAACCACAGTGATTTTAGATCTATTGTTCTTCACAAATTTGAATTCAAATCCACCCTTGACTGCCCATTCCTTAAGAGCATTTCTAAAAGAGGTATGTGAGGTAAATTTCAAACCTTTGGATAATTCTGGATTTGTAGCTCCTGTTTCTTCATTGAACTCTTCATACTTTTCATCACCATCTTCAGATCCTACAATGCTATGCAAGTCATCACTATAGCATGGACTTTCATTAAACTCCTTAAGCTGCTCTTCATTCAGATCTTCTGGAAAAAAGGGGTTTGGTTCTGAAGGTTGGTCTGGACCTGGGGGTGGTTTTTGGCTTAAACTTGCAGCTCCATGATTAAATACATCATCTTCACTCCCTTCTAGGTCATCATATATCCAGGAAGCTTCACTCCCTTCTAGGTCATCATATAGACAGGAAGCTTCACTGATATTGGAATTGGAATGGTCATGTGAAGCACTTTCAGATCCACTTTGATTCACATAGTCTTCATCATCCTCATCACTTTGTAATTCAGTTTCAACAAATGTAGTGGATTCACCCACAGATTGGTCTGCTTGTCGAGCTTGATCTTTATTTTGTAATTGAGTTGGGACTGAAGTGTGGGCTTCCTATGAAGATTGGGTTGTTTCTTTTACTAAAGTACCAACCACCCGTTTTTTACTTGTGTTTGCAACAAAGTACAAGTCAATGTGTGGGTCCATTATGTTACACACCAACATGTCTTGAACATCTTTATCACACACTATCTCTTGCAAGGTGACTGGTCCACACAACTCCCTAATTGAGAATCTTCTAAACCACGTTTTTACCCCATTTGTATAACCCAAATCTGCTGCATATCCCTCCAATTCGAACTTGCTCACATAGTCAATGTCAACTTTATCTTTTTTCAAAACATGGCCTCCCACATACGTTTTCTTTTCTTTTGGACAGTCCCACTTTCCACCATGGTGAATTAACAAATTCACGTACTCACTCATACCAAACCTGCACATACATTCAATGCGGACAAACTACACTTCAATACCAAAAAAGAATGAAAATTTAAACTGCAACACAAACTTCAATACCCATTAACACTTCCAACGAACCCATTCGCACATTAATTTACCTACCAACCAGGTTATCCAACAAGCGTCACACCCTAACCAAAATATGTAAACCAAAGAAACAATTATTGGAGTACTTACTTTCACGTGAAGACTCTAAGGACAAAAAACTACAATTCCATCTGCTAGTGCTTGCGTTATTGTCCTTTGTCTGCTTCGACCAACAATCTTTGTTCTTTCCCAACCGGAGGTGTAGAATCGAATGGGAGGAAGAATTGGGTTTTCTTCAGCCCTAATTTCACCTAATTTTAATTGGGTTTTCTTCAGCCCAAATTTCTCTTAACTTTTGCATTTTTAAGTAATTAAAATAATACATCTTCATTGGAGCTTAGTTGAAAAAAAAATGCCACGTAGTGTATTACTAACGGCCCAGTCGCTTAGACCCCGCGGGTGGTAACGGTAGGAAAGCACAAGCTTGGGTTTATTGCAAAGTTCATCACAGACCCCTGATTGCAAACGGCCACAACCACAGGTATCAAAGTGGCATTTCAACTCTTTAATTGTCCAATTATAATGTGTTTTAATATAACCAAAATATCCGAAACCCGATCCGATATCTGATAATATCCGACTTAAAAATATCTGATTTAAAATATCAAAGGGTCGGGCCTAGTATTTAAATTAAAAAACCTGAACGGGTTAAGGGTCCACAGACCCGACCCGCCCGAACCCGACCCGTGCTCAGCCAAACGTATGCGTTGGAATGTAAAAAAAATGTTTGCATTCTTTTCATTATAATATCACATATTTTTGTAGGATGATAAATAGTTCAAGATTACAAAATAATGAATTTAATTTATTCAGTTTAAACAAAATCAAAGCATGTTATTTTAAAAAAAATTAACAATTTGTTCAAAATTTCGCAACAAGACTAAAATTAAAATTAATGAATTTAAAGTGCTTCATTTACAACGAGTAATAATTTTGCAATTTAAATTTTAACTTAATAGTAAAACTTCATTTTTAAATTTCGAATTTATAATTTTTTTGGGGTGTTTTTCAAATTTATTTTATCTACTTAAAGTCCATAAGGGTAAATTTGCTCCTTTATAAGAACATGAGGGGTATTTTTGCACTTTTTAAAAGTTTAGGGGTATATATGCACTACAACATATACTTCAGAGATATTTTTGTTCTGAAAAATAGAATAGGGATATATTTGCTCCCACACTAATACCATAGGGGTATATTTTTACATTTCCCCCAAGCTGATTCAATTCAATTTCAATCAAAGCGCATCACCTAAAATCCAAATCAGTTGTATTGATTAATTCTAGTGAAATTTATGAAGTTCTGACTAAAGTGTCAGAATTGGTTGATTCTGTTCATTTATGAAAAATTATATTTGAAATATATTTTATCAATAAAATAAAGAAAAAAATATATGAAAAACAACTAAAATGATCCTCTACATTAACTTCAGTCAATACAGCCTAAAAAGTAACTGCAATCTTACTTTTTCATATTATTACATAATTCAGCGCGTGTAACCCGCCCCAGACCGCATCTAGGCGCGTGTACAACCGCCGTATGACCAAGTGACATCATTCGCAAGTCAACGTGACTTAATCATACAAGGCGTCCGTTAACATAGTCCATACCAACCCTCGGTAAATAAATATACATAACAACATCACAGTTTAGATTACTTGAATAGCGGAAATATTCAATAATTCATTGTGGGCCACACATGGCCAAAACGTGGGCTCACAAGCCCAGAACAATGTATATATTACATTAAATGTCCATGAGTATAGTTTGTAATTTGAAAATAATAAAGGAAGCACGAACCACGTCTTCCTTCGAATCACTTCACCGTGCAAGTGTGGATGGTAAGCTTTAGCTTCAACCTGAAATGGTGGGCCCCTCAAAGGGGTCATTACAAGTACCGAGCGGGTAGCAAGTTAAATGTAGAGTAACTAATGTTTCAAGTATAAGGTCCAAACATAGGGTGATACATACTTGTATAGTCCTTTCCCCCAAGTTATGAAATACATATCAGAATATATACACTTGGAAATACCCGACTCGTAGGTCATTGTTTGTTTGGGAAAATAGTAATAGTCAATATCCTTGACTCAAATCCCAACCCACCCATATACCTATGAGTGTATAGGTGACGAGCACTTTGTCACGGTGCGTCAAAATAAATCGATACTAGCACTTATACGTAGTATAGGTGAAGTAGAGTTCGTATCCACAGGGAAAAGAATAATTCTATTTTTATGAAACTAGTAAATAAAAGGGGGGTTTTGGTATTGAATGATTTAATTAAATTAAAAACTAAGATGAACGACTTATATGAGATTTAATTCAAAAATAAAAAGGTCTTGGCATTGCTACTTTCCACTTGTTGATATATTTTAGTCGATCATTGTTATATCTATAACTTATTCCCTCTCGAATACTCAATCGAGGAGTATATCCAATTCATCGAGGGTAATTATTAACAACGACCGTTCATTAATAATCCTTACTATTAGTCAAGTATAGAACACCGTCATATACCGACTTGATAGTAACATTTAATCTCTTAACTCCTTGATAAAATCAATTGAGATTGATAACTTCAACACAACCGGTTTCGGTTTAACCAACAAAATTAATCCCTCTTAAGTTTATCAACCACGACCGTGCATTAATAAACCGAAGTTACTTA